CTGCAGGCAGTTGGCTTTCTTTCTTCCTGCAAGAAGATCTGACAAAAATAATGTGTGCATGAACTTATTTAGTTGGCAACAGAAGCTGCGGGCAGTTGCCCGTTCTCTCTGAGATTGTTATGTCTTTTCATGTGAATTATTATTATTTCATCTTCAATGTTTGTTGAAAATTTTGGGTTAAAACTTAATGTTTATTTATGATATCACTTTTCTATGTTTTCTTCCATTTCTTTCCCTTTGATGGTGCGTTTTAATGAAAGAATTGAATTTTATTCATAAATTTTTATTTAAATTCTTTTGTGTGTGTTTTCATTTTTGCTTTTGTATTTTAAACTCTTGTATAATACTGTGATTAGGATTGCTGTGTAATGTATATCACAGTCTTATAGATAAATTTTTATTTAAACTCTGAATTGTATATACTGTATTAATATATATTTTTGCTTATTGATGGTATTATCTACAAGCATCCTACAATTAAGAGTCCATGAAAAGGTGGAACTAAAGATGACCCAAAGACACATCCTCAGGGGAGGTTTCTCTTATCATGGTTGAAGTAATTGCTTGTTCTGTTGACTTTGTTATTCAAGTACCTAATTTGCTGTCAAAGCCAAAGAGTTATTGTTGAAATGTGAAAAACGTCTTCACCTGCTGTCATTATTAGGGGATTGTCTTGATGAATTATTTCTTTTCATCCCTTCTGGTGATGTGGAGTTTGTTTCAATGAAGGTCTCAAGAAACTCATCTCATTTTTGGGACCAGAAACCCAACAAGAGAGGCTCAAGACAATCCGGAAATTCTTATGGTAGATTTCCATATTAGTTGTGGAATGTTTACAAGTATGGATCAGGTATTGATGCAGCAATCATGGGCATAAATGCCTCTTCCCTTGATGTAACTCCAGGTGATTCCTTATGTACCTTGCTCTAATTAGTTCACGAATGTTTTGTTTAGGAGTTCTTCTAATGGTCTAAGGTTTTGAGTAGCTATTGGCTACATGCTTTCTAGGAAACAGTTTAAACATATAGAAGACTTCTTTTCCTTGTTTCATTTTGCATTTCTTCCTACTTGTTTGTAGTTCATTTCTGGTAATTTCGCTTGCTCTTTGTCTAATGAATAATAGAAACTTTATGAAGTTATTCTGTTATTTGAATCCAGTTTGCTTTTATTGTTAGGCAATCAACGTTGACAGTCACTATTAAAGATGATGCAGTAATCTCAACCTGTAGCATTTTAGATCAGTTTGCAATATGATGTGCAAAGAGTAGCCTTTGTCTGGTCTTTCATGTACCTAGGAAGGGAATTATTGAGGTATGCTTAAATCTTTAATATATGTTTGGATTGGAGAGTGAAGACTACATATTGAAATCAATTTCCTTTTAAATATAATGTTTAACATTGTCTTTAATATATGTTTAGCATCCATTCTTGTATTTTACATTGCGAAAACCTAACCATTTTTGTTGAACACATCAAATGCAGGTT